AATTTTATATTTTTGTGGCAAATCATCTTCTGTCTACAATCTTATTGGTGGAATATCGACAATGAGTCACTCTAAATTTTACAAAATTAAAAATAAATGAGGATAAAAGAAAATTACATCAAATTTAAAGAACTAGAAGAAGAAGTGCCACAGACATAAACATTTCGTACCTCAGCCCCAACCATGGTGGGGCTGAGGTGTTTTCTATTTCGAATTCCTGCATCCGCCACTGTCTAATGTACTTTTGTGGTTAATCATATTCTATCTGTGCTCTTGTTGGGATGTCGACAATGAGTAATACTTAGACACGAGGTTCCGTGACTTTTGACATGTCTTGAGGGGTCCGCGAATGCAAAGAGGTTGAGAACCCTAAATGACTGTAAACAATTAGGAGCAAAATGTATTTGTGATCACACAATAACATATTTTGATGGTAATTACCGGTATGTGTTTTACTGCACATCTACAGTGACATTAAGGGGATATTGCTTATTATGGAATTTATATAAAAAGATAAACGAACAGATTCTTGAGAGAGAGGACTTTATGGTTGTTATAGAAGATTAATCAGCATGGCCGGCGGAATGGGGGGGGGGGACTTTTTGGCAAAAATATATGTCTGGAGATTTTTGTATGATCGAAAAGAAATGCAAGAAAAGAAAGGGAGAAGAAGGAGGAGAAGGATGGCAAAGAGAATGTTTATCCAGTCCTCGACCGAGTTACATTTTCTCGCAATTCACATTGGCGGATATAGGGGAGGGGTCATGGGTCCTGACCCCTCCCTTGGGCAACAAAAAAAATGGGGAAAAAGAATTCTAGACCTACTTTTTCAGGACCCGTGAGCTGATTTTTTTTTTTTTTTTAAACAATAAAAAAAATAGAATTTTAAAGAACATAAAAGTAATTAAAACACACTTCAAATGTCGGGAAAGCTCATTTTCCGCCATCTAGGAATCAAAATTTTCCCGGGAAGAACCCAAACTTCCCTTTCTTTTTGGGTTCATTGATTCATATCAAGAAGGGGAAACCTTGAATTTTGAATAAATTAGTACGGTAGTAATTAAAAGACACCTCAGAAGTCGGGAAAGCTCATTTCCCGCCTTCTAGGAATCAAAATTTTCCCGGGGGAGAAACCCCGGGCCCCCTTTCTTTTTGGGATTTATCGATTCATGGAAAAAAATTCGTATGCAACTACAAATTTTTTTTAATTGTATGTAAACACACATAAGGCCTATTTACTGTAATAACAATAGGAAAAAAATTACCTGAGCGTTTTCAAGAGGGGAAAACCTAGGAATCAAAATTTTGGACCCTCTTTTTCTTTGGAACTTATCGAGTATACCACGGTGGCGCTTACTTGGTATGAACTCTCATTTCATCAGTCCGCCCCCCCCCCCCTCCTTCTTTAAATCCTGGATATGCCACTGTTGCTGAAAACAATAGTTAAGCCAAAATATTTCCATTCGTTTTGTTGTTCATGTGAATGTCTGATATTTTATTACTTTAAATCAACGCTAAAAACACACAGTGTCAATGCCAACATAGACACGTACGACTGAGGTAAGCGACTCCGAATTAATAGTGGTTACGTAACGTTTGTCATGCACTGTATCATGCGCTGCAGAAATGGAAGACCAATGCCATGGGATGCCTCTCTGGAGGGTCTGCAGTACCAGTGTATAAGCATGGTCCATGGTGTAAATGTAAGATATAGGCTAGTGTGAATTTAAACAATGTCCTAATGGTAATGTGGAAAATAACAGTGCAAAAGTCAAGTGGCGCAGTGCAAAAGTCAAGTGGCGGCACACGCATTTGGGTTTGCATTACCATTGCACCACTTTAGTTTTGCACTGAGCTACTCGACTTTTGCACTGTGCCACTTTAGTTTTGCACTGTGCCACTTGTGGTTTGTCCTTTTGGCGTTCTATACAACCAAAGAATATAGATAGAGGAAGAATGAGCAGCTAGCGTATTTTGCATTACAGTGTCACACAACAGGTAGAGAACAAACTGGAATCACAAACAACAAAGTGAAAACATGTTTTTTTGTAAATTTTATTATTGAAAATTAAAAACGGCAGCACAAGAAATCAAAATGTAGACCTACCTTTTCATTTTGTCAAAGAAATACCATCCTTTCTATTTCTTGCCTACTCACTTAGCAGTTATACAAACAATCATTTCTTTTTTTATTATATTACCTTGTCAGTTTTTTTTCTGGGATATTTTACATTTAATTTCATTGCATCTTATGTTCGCCCCTTTTCTTATCTTTTTCTTATGTTACCCAACCAATTACTTACGGTACCTTTCCTTTTCTCTTTCTGATGTATTCTTATTTTTAAATTTCCTTGACTTTCTAATGTCTACTTTTCTTTCTTATCCTTGTCATTCTTATGTTTCCTTATTTTTTTTTCTCTATTTCTTTCCCATGTTACCTTATCTTTTTTTTCTTGTTCTTTCTCATGTGACCTTTTTTCTTTCATTTTTCTTTCTTATGTTTCCTTATCTATTCCTTTTCGTTATCTTTCTTAAGTTTCCTGTTCTTTCCTTTTGTTTGTCTTTCTTATGTTTCCTTATCTTTTCTTATCTCTTTGCTTTCTCATGTTACTTTATCGTTCTTTCATTGTTTTTTCTCATGTGACCATTTCTTTTCTTTCATTTCTCTTTCTTGTGTTTCCTTATCTATTCCTTTTCATTATATTTCTTAAGCTTCCTGTTCTTTTCCTTTTCTTTGTCTTTCTTATGTTTCCTAATTTTTTCTTATCTCTTTGCTTTCTGATGTTACTTTATATTTCTTTCATTGTTCTTTCTCATTTGAACTTTTCCTTTCTTTCATATTTCTTTCTTATGTTTCCTTATTCAATTCATTTCATTATCTTTCTTATGTTTCCTTTTCTTTTCTTTTCCAAGTCTTTTTTATGTTTCCTGATCTTTTTTTCTTATATTAACTTATCTATCTGTCCTTGTTCTTTCTCATGTGACCTTTTCTTTCCTTTCATTTTGAATTTATCAGACCTCTCACTTCAATCCTTTCCAATCATATTCTTTCAGTTTCCTTACCTATTCATTCTAGTTTCATGATCATCGTGACTTTTGCTTATTCCTTATTTCCTAACTACTTACCGTCTAATGTTGAAAATGCATCTCTTAGCAGATGTGATTTCAGAGACATTTTGAAAGACGTATTAATTGACTCACTGGATCTAATTGTGAAAGGCAGAATGTTTCACAAGCGTGTAGCAGCAACAGAAAAAACTGGGAATTGTGTGATTTGGGCTGATACAGGAGGAGTTGACCGAAGGAACGTAAGTTACGTTTATGGAGCATCTGCAATGTAGTCTGGAACCAAATCATTTTTGAATTTAAAACGATCAGCAAAAGTTTGTAAATAATCCGGTGCGTTAGAGGAAGCCAGTGTAAATTTTTCAGAATGTTGGTAATATGTGCATATTTTGGAATTTCTTATGTATAAAGGCCTGTTTACATTTAAACGATAACAATAACGATAAAAAAGCTAGGAAGGAAATTGTTCATATAGAAAATAAAAGAAATCGTTATCGAATCGTTCTAGTGTAAAAACTTCTCTTATTTCTTTTGTTTTCTATATCGACAATCGCTTTTTAGCTTTTTTATCGTTATCGTTATCGTTGAAGTATAAACAGGCCTTTAGCCTATTTTTTGCATCAATTTTATGTCCTATTATCAAAGAATATTCTTTGCTATTATCTAATAACATAACATTACATGATCTGCTGTTGATTGGAAGTTATTTCATAATAGCTTGTTAATAATAATGTAGGCCTATATATTTATCAATGACGAATATTTACTTGTATTTATAATTTAATAGCGGCCTATTTTCTCATAGAACTGTAGTTTCGTACATGATACTAAACATTGAAATACATTCATACATGGAGAAAACTAATACAGTACAGAACTGCACTGGGGTGGATGCTGTGTGGGTGGGGGTGGAGTTTCAAATCGCACCCTCTAAAGTGCAGTAAGAAAAATAATTGTTTTATTTTATTGTTGATCTGTTGATATGAATTATCTGGGCACCTAGAGGTCTATATTCTAACAATGTTTGCACCTCCGCCCCAAATATAGTGGGGCTGAGATCTCACGCATCCCCTACCGCCAAATCCTGCATCTGCCCCAGCTGCATTAGTCGTTTATTTCTTAGATAGGCCTACTCAAATAAACGGCCCTTACTTACACTGTTAATGTGGTAGCCTAGTATGTGATCTTAAATACCTTAAAATTATAAAAATATTAAATATGTTATTTTTTATATCTTTAATCATATTAATAATAACACAATAATGAATGGGCCTAGTTGTTGTAACAATAATAACAATCAATAACATTATATTGATGATGATGATAATGATGATCAATAATAATAATAATAATAATAATAATAATAATAATAATAATAATGAGTAAACAATAATAATATTAATAATGAAATTCAAATTTCAAATTCTAATAAACATTGATTTTCCTTTTTGTTATATTTTACATAACATAATCGGATGATAATAAAAATAATAATTGTAATAAGCTATAAAAAACAAGAATAGATAGACCTAGAATAATAAATAAATACCTAATAAGGTCAAAACTCTTTATAGTAGCCTATGAATAACCTACACTAGGCAGGTTTTTATACACACCGCCGATACGCAGCGCCCTACTCCACTGGCCTCCCGGGATCATGCAAAAACAACCCCTTCTCAACCACAATCACCCCCACCCCCCAAATTTA